GTGGTGTCGTTTCACAGATATAGGAGAGGCAAATCTGAATATCAAACGAATATCGAATATAAAACCAACTTTACCACGCTAGATCTTACAGTCTGCTTTACTTCTGTCGTCGCCCCTTATCTTAAAATACGGCCAAATTGCTGACACCTTCCGCTCATTCTCCGTATTCTCTGCATTTATCCTTCCCAAATGTTTCCGGTTGACAAATGTCTCTCTAGATGCCAAAATCTGATTGGGCATCAAAAATAAAACAAAAAACAAAAACGCGGCTTTGAGTTTTAATGTAATGCTCCAAATTGAGTGCTATCAGGCAATTTTTACGAATTTTGGCCAGATGCCTAATGTCGGTATCGGTGCATCCCTAACATCTTTTCACAGTTTTTTCACTTAATCATTCATATCATATAGTTATGCATTTTCTGATTCCCATATTCTTGTGAACAGTTCGATGACCCACTAATTTTCGTATTAATTTATAGGTAAAAATTGTGGGGGAGACGGCTTTCAAAGAGAAAAATACCTTTTATTGAAGACAAAAGACGGTATCAGCAGGAAACCGCTGTTATAGTTATGGCCCCGACCTTGGTAAGTTGTGTGTTGCTTTTACTTACACCAAATATTAATAGGAAATTCAGTTGCTTGGCACAATAATTTGTATAATTAGTCATTCACCCATTTACTAGAAAGCTTTCAATGTTAGGTGGCAAAACCTAAAATAATTATAGTTCACAATTTTTATTATTCAAATGAAACCATTTTAAGGCCAATTACTTCACTTTTCCGCATGTGCTTACAGCCTGCGCACTGGCTGATTGATATAAATTTAGTTTTACAAGGGGGATGCATTAGACGGTGTGTGTGTAGCCCCCATGTATGTGATTTCCACCCTTGTTCCAGGAAAACCACCCCACCATTATGCACACCCCTTGTTGTGATCCATTCGATCTTTCCAACCCAGTTCCAGTAAACCAACCAATTGGCCAGAAAAAGACACTGTGTTTGACTTTGGAAAATAAAACCTTGAGAGTGAAAACTGATCAAGTGATCATGAACTGTCCCATTCTATCTTAATGTATAGCTTAGCTACACTAATAGTTTTATTCATTTTACTTCATTGACTTCAGAACGTTAACAAATACTTTGAATTTTGAATCTGAAATGAAAACTACAGCCTAACAAAGGCATTTTGCCAATCAAAATTAAAATGAAACTAAAAGTGCAAGTGAGGCATGAAAACAAAACTGAAATTAAAACAACAAACTCCAACACTAACTGAAATAAAATGTGTAGAAACAAAAATCTGTGGTTTCTATTTTAAACTTTATTTTTGAATTTAAAAGCTTGCTTGTAGGCTACCAGACGTCCCTCCTCTAAATAATCGATAGTAGCCTATTATAAGCATCTCAAATAGATAAAATTAGGCTTCCATATGTCTTTGCGAGATTAAACCATGTTTCAGATGAAGAGATTAGATTAGAAATGGGTGATACCACCG